TGCCCTGGGTGCATGGCCACGTGGCTCTCCCTGTGCTCCCTCACCTCCCCAGCGCCTTGGGTGCATGGCCACGTGGCTCTCCCTGTGCTCCCTCACCTCCCCAGTGCCCTGGGTGCATGGCCACGTGGCTCTCCCTGTGCTCCCTCACCTCCCCAGTGCCCTGGGTGCATGGCCACGTGGCTCTCCCTGTGCCCCCTCACCTCCCTGGCGCCCTGAGTGTGTGGCCACGTGGCTCTCCCTGTGCTCCCTCACCTCCCCGGCACCCTGGGTGCGTGGCCACGTGGCTCTCCCTGTGCCCCCTCACCTCCCCAGTGCCCTGGGTGCGTGGCCATGTGGCTCTCCCTGTGCTCCCTCACCTCCTCAGCACCCTGGGTGCATGGCCACGTGGCTCTCCCGGTGCCCCCTCACCTCCCCAGTGCCCTGGGTGCATGGCCACGTGGCTCTCTCTGTGCTCCCTCACCTCCCCGGCACCCTGGGTGCGTGGTCATGTGGCTCTCCCTGTGCTCCCTCACCTCCCCGGCACCCTGGGTGCGTGGCCATGTGGCTCTCCCTGTGCTCCCTCACCTCCCCGGTGCCCTGGGTGCGTGGCCACGTGGCTCTCCCTGTGCTCCCTCACCTCCCCGGCACCCTGGGTGCATGGCCACGTGGCTCTCCCTGTGCCCCCTCACCTCCCTGGCGCCCTGGGTGCGTGGCCACGTGGCTCTCCCTGTGCTCCCTCACCTCCCTGGCGCCCTGGGTGCATGGCCACATAGCTCTCTCAGAGTATGGCTCTGAGAGTTTGAATAAAGTTAAGGTTACTCACTGGCGTAGGCTGGGGGAGACTGAGGAGGAGGCGCAGAGCGTGCCACCCTCAATGCCCTCTGCCATTAGAAGTCACCACGTGCAGTGTTCAAACCCCAAACAGAAAGAGCAGCATGGCCAGTGTGCTGGGCCTGTGCATAGCATGGCGCTGGGTGGAGAAATGAAGGCCAAGAGGGGCGCTTCTCAGGCCGTGAGGTCCGGGTGCCCTCCCTGGGAGAAGGGCGGAAGAGGAAGTGCACTGGAAACAGTATTTGATTAAGCAAATGTATCTGCCCCTTTGTTTCTCAGAACTGGCCATGTGGACTCCTTTTGTATCTGTCTTGGGGAAACCAGATGTTTGAGTTCTTCTATATTGTTTTCTTCAAGTTTGCGCCAATTGTCTCTAATCACAGGCCTGCAAGCAAGGCCTCCATAATAGAGGTCTATTAATACACTTTCTATTTTTCGCTGTTCTCACTGTTATAGTTATTTTCCCCCCTCAAATAAGGTCCAAACAGTTTTTCAGGGAAGAAAACAAAGAACTTCCTAGTTTACTCTAATAATTATTTTCCGTAAAATCCATAAAAGTGTAGGATGTCCTTTTGAATTTTTTGTGAAAAGTTCAAATTTCTCTCCTTGTTCCCTTAACTGTACCCCGGCATCTGCAGCTGGGCAGCTCTGCGTCCTTGGAAGGGAAGGGACAGCTGAGGTTCACCGCAGGACGCTGGAGCCCGCATCACAACTGCACTCAGGTGGCCACTGCCAACGACACCACGCTCCGTGGCTGGGACACGCGCAGCATGAGGTCAGTGACCCTCAGTCCCCGAGTCTCACCTTGCACTTTCCCTAACGGAAACCGGAGGTGGCAGAGGTGATCAAGAGCTAGATGGACTTGGGGGCACGTGGCTTCTCTGTCTTCCTCTCACCTTTGTGGGAGACCATTCTCACCCCAGCCATTCTCGTGTACCTGCTGCGTGCAGGCCATGCACCTGAGTGGACTGCATGCCGTCCTGTGTCACTGTCCGTGCACTGGGTCCAGCTGGGGCTTAGTGTTGCTCACGAGTGACACGGAGACAAGGACACTCCATCTCCACGTGAGCCAGGTGGCAATTGCAATCCCCTGGTGAAATCCCCCTCAAGGAGTTGTCCTTGACCATTTTCATGCTTTTAAGAGACATACCTGCGGGGCAATCATATTTTGTCATTTAAGTAATTATCCGCAACCACCGCAGTTCTAATGGAACAAACAAGAGCTATTTTTCTGTTCCAGTTGTGATTTTGATAGGCACAGGAGTGATGGTGGGACGTCTGTTGCTATGGCGACGGGCGCCCGCATAAGCTTTTTAAAGATGCAGTTTATCCCCTCAGCACACCGTAATTGATCACTGAGCCGAGGAGACGGATATCATGCAATAACTCGAGCTGCTTCTAGGGTGGGGGCTTACCTTTAAAATTTAGTTCTGAGGCCCCTCTGAAAACCCAGGGGCTAATAAATAAACAGTCACCACTCCTGAGGCCCTGGCAGCTCTGTACAAAACAGGAATCAGCTTCTGTGTGTTGCTAGCAGCCGTGGGTGGTATAGACCATGACACTGGCCCATGCCAGCTTCAGTATCCTTGCTCTGCAGTCCTCTCTCCTGTCCTCACTGCTCTTTGAAGGATGTGACAAGGAAGCCACAGAAAGCAAGGCACATGTGGCTTTTGTTGGTAGCGTCCTGCAGTGACCTTGTGTGGCAGGTGGCCTGGGATGGAGCGCCAACTGCCATAGGATGCGGGGCAGAAGTGAAGAAAGGCCTCACCCCTTCCTCCCTTTCTCCTGTGACTTTGGTCTTCACCTAGCCAGGCTGCCTGGGGTGTTTCATCCAGAGGATGTTAGAGGTTCATGTCAGAGCAGGCAGCTACCTTCCATTAGTAATGACTGCCTGTATGATTGCCTATCTAGTGCCCCAGGAAATGTGCTACCACTTTAATTTTATACCTTTTGTTTGTTTCACTTGAGAGATCTTCAAGTTTAGAATCTCTTATTGTAGGAAAAAATATTAAGTCATTGAAAAAGGATGGGATGTAAAGGTTAGCTCAAAATTTGAAATGTCTTAGGCTTGGAGCTCTAACACGGGAAGAAAAGATAACAGATGTAGAGCTCCTCTGTCGGAGAGCAGAGACCCACAGCCTTCTGCCCTGGGAGAGAGCATTACAGGCCCGGAGCTCCTGCACCTGCAGCTCCTAGAAGCCAGGGTGGCGTGGAAATTAATGATGTTTGCAGGAGATGTTTGAGTTTCACCTGGGGAAGGATGCAGGCAGGCCAGGGTGAAAGCTAAGCCTTTGTCGCCCCACTGTCCTTGCCTGCCTGGGCGACCCACCCCTGTTTTGGGTACAGAGCATGAGAAGGAGCCATAATAGGCCAGATATTCTGATTTCAGGCTTGTGAGAGGCTGGGCGCAACTTCGATGCGTGTGTGTGTGTGTGTGTGTGTGCGTGCGTGCGCGTGCATGCGTTACACCATCATAAGCCTCTGGCTAATTTCGAATACCCCTTTCCCTATAGCTCACCCTGGGCCCTACAGCAGCTGTACCCCAAGGGGTGTGAACAGCTAAGCTGCAAGCCCAGTGAGGATGACACCACTGCCTCCTGGTTTCTGTAGCCTTCTCAGCTTTGTCTTTGTCTCCCTGCAAACATTTCCTGGTCCCTACAGTGCTGCTTATCCTGTCTGTTGCTGTTGTTGTTTTCCTTTCCCTTCCTGTCCTGCTCCCTTCTTCAGCCCATTAGGTGTTCTTCCCAAGAAGCCCATGCTGCTCCTTGTGGCCTTTACAGTCCCTATGGCATACCATCACTCCCAAGACAACAGGTCACATGCTGACAGCAGCAAGCTGGTGTCATTTCCAGCTCCTCACCTGGGGGATCAGCTGTGCTCTTGGGACATTAGAGCCACCTCACTGCTGTGGGAGTCCTTGGACTTCTGACACCGCATGCCCAGCCTGCTCTAGCAGGGGACCCAGGTGCCCACACCAGGCACAGCCCTGGGAGACTGAGGCTAGGCCAGCATGAAACACGAGCACTGTATTGTTTTCTCTCTGTCCCCAGCCAGATCTACTGTATAGAGAACGCCCATGGACAGCTGGTACGTGACCTTGACTTCAATCCCAACAAGCAGTACTATTTAGCAAGCTGTGGGGACGACTGCAAGGTGAAGTTCTGGGACACCCGGAATGTCACCGAGCCCGTCAAGACCCTGGAGGAGCACTCCCACTGGTACAGTGACTCGTTCGCATGCCACTTTAGGGAAGCGGGATTATGTAATTTATTTTGCTAATTACTTTACCATTTGGAAAGGCACAAACCAGCTTCGTTTGTGCTGCGTGAATCATTCAATCAACCCAGTTTTATTTTTCCTAAAGAAACACTAATTCCAAATCTGAATGTGATTTATAAGCGCTGGAAAAGAAGAAAAACATTAGATTCTGTTTTCTCTTGAAACAGTGCCGGTTCAAGTATGCAAAAATAAATGCGCACAGATGTTCACGCAGCATTGTTTGCAGTGCTTGAAAACTGGAAGCGACCCAAATGTCCATCATAGGGGATCGGTTAAGTAAATTAGGTGACATCCGTGCCACAGAGATGGTGCCGCTGTCAGGACGGATGAGGGGTATCTGTGCTTGGATGGATGTGGAAGGGTGCCCAGGATCATTCATTCTCTCCAAAATATTATCTCCGTGTTTCTTGTATGCTGAGTGCTTTTTGTTAAACCAGTAGAAAGACCACGCTATAGAAGAGCATGTGAGGGATGCATCTTTTTTTTGTGAAATAAGGTGTGTGCGTGAGTGTGTGCAGTGCACACAGGTGCACAGCAAGGAAGCCCAGGAGAGGAGGAGCCAGCTCTCATCAGGGCCCCTCACTGTAGGGCAGGGGCACCACACTTGGCTCTGCTCCCCTCTGGGGCCCTGACTACTTGTGTAATGCGGAGGACAGCTATGTGGCCGTGCTGGATGCGACCCCCGCCCCCTCATCCCCGGGCGTGCTGTGGCCTGGCTTGATGGGGAGGCTCAGCTCACCAGCCTCCCTCACCTGTGGCTGTGGTGTTGCTCCGAGCCCGGTGTCCCCTGGAGAGACACTGAGGCCTAGTCTGAGGCCCCGTGGCTGTGCTCGGCTGGGACATGTTCCAGGGCTTGGGTCGGTGCTCCAGTAGTTGCTCATTCATGTGTTCTCCTGGGTGAGCAGCTTTTGCCTGGAATTCTAGAATAGCCATCTCAAGCACAGAGCAATGATTCCTTACCCTTTGCCTTGTGAGCTGACATTCAGTCCTCTGTGTCTGTTGGTTAGCACCTAAGAGCGCAACACATAATGGGCCAGATGCCTGCTGTGCAGTCCCTTGCACCAGCCCCAGTGTGTGACTGCGGGCAGTGACTTCTAGTGCAACCCGGTCCAGCAGGATCAACTGCACAGGCCAGCCTGCTACCTCAGCAGCCTCCCATGCCCTTTGCAGGGTGTGGAGCGTCCGCTACAACCACTCACATGACCAGCTGGTCCTCACAGGCAGCAGCGACAGCAGGGTCATCCTGTCCAACATGGTGTCCATTTCCTCGGAGCCCTTTGGCCACCTGGTAGATGACGATGACGTCAGTGATCCAGAGGAGCACCGTGCAGAGGAGAGGTAGGGGCCCCGCGGCATGCAGCACCCAGTCCCTGGGCATCTGTGAGAGCTATCCTGTGCTTATGGGGGCATCCTCTGCTGGGCTGCAGTCTTGGGGGTCATGTGGGCCCAGGGCTCCTACAGAGGACACACAGGGTTGGCCCAGCCCATCATCCCTCCGTGGCGGCCTCAGCCTCCCTTTGTCTCGCTCACAGCTGTCTCTTGCATTGCAGGAGTAAGGAACCCCTGCAGGACAATGTCATCGCGACCTACGAGGAGCACGAGGACAGCGTGTATGCTGTGGACTGGTCCTCAGCAGACCCGTGGTTGTTTGCATCCCTGAGTTATGACGGGAGGTTGGTCATCAACAGGGTCCCCAGGGCCCTCAAGTACCACATCCTGCTTTAGCTCTTCCCAGGCAATCCTGTCCATCCCTTGGCAGAGCCGCGGATTTGCAGCCATGGATGGGATTCCTTTGCAGACCCATCCCTCTCCAGAGAGTCCTACAGCACCTCACTTTCCCCCACCATCCTGTCTCTCCACCCGCCTCTGCTCCTATGTTACCTCACCTTTCTCCTGAGATTGTGAAGGAAATAAAGTGAGCAGAACCGCTGCAGGCTCCAGCTCCTTCTTTCAGGACCTCTGCCCTGTGTGGTGTGGCCTCATCCCTCTCCACACAAGAGACAGCACAAGCGATGCCATACTCTCTCTGTGGTGCTGTCCCGGGCAGGGCTGGGAACCCAGGGTCTGGAGCTGCACTGGGACCGTGTCGTGCTGTGGTTGGTGTAGCTCTGGCTCAGCCTCCAGCCTCCGCCAGCCTCTGTGCGCTGTCCCCGTCTTGGGTTGTGTCAGGCTCTTGTAGTCCCAGAGGACGAGACTGGGCCACCTCTGCCGTGGCCACCGTCATGCACATTCACGCTACTGCCACCTGCCTGCTCCTCTGTGGCCCTGGACCCTGAGCTTGCAGCTCCATCCTCTCCTCTTCTGTGGGTTCCAGCTCTGTGCTGTGCTCTCCTGCTGGCTCCTAGATAAGCTGCAGGGACTGCGGCAGTGGCATTGTACCTGGCCAGGCATCCAGCAGATGCTGTCTCCACTGGTGCCTCAGTTTCCCCAGCTGTAATGGGAGCTGTCAGGACCCAGACTGCTCCCCACCTCTGTCTAACGGAACTGTCCTCCATCTGGCTGCTGCCCTTCCTGGGACAAGAGAGACCAGCCACACTATCCCCCTTTGATTTGTCAGAGGAAGTGGACATGCGTCCATGGAGGGAGCATGATAAAGCTGTGTCCCCTCTCCAGGGCCCAGGGAACTATACCTTAAGCCCAGAAGTAGATTCATAACCTGCCACTGACTTTCAAACATGGGGACATAGCATTGTCCCTAAACTTCATGGCCAGTGTCATCACTTTGAAGACTGGGAGGCCTTGTGACCAGTGGCTCATGCAGGCTGTGAGCTCCAGGCCAGCCACAGCACCATGTCTGCCCTGAGACCTCTCCTGTGGTTCTTATGGTAGGTGACAAGGGGGCAGAAGCAGGGTGAAGACGTTGCTCATGGGGTGTCGTGTATGCCAGGATCTCAGCATACCTGGTGACGCCTGAAGCTGAGCCTCCTGCCTCTCTTCTGTGGGGCTGGCCAGGGCAGTGCTGAGCTTCCTCTCCCAAGTGGCAGAGCAGGTTGGTGACACTGGCCCTTGTTCCAACCCCTGGGAAGAAAAGTCTCACTGGTTGCCTTGACCCGGGCATCTGGGCTGTGACCGAGCAGTGCAAGGGCCATCAGCTGCGGGTTGATGTGAGACAGGGCAGAGCTCCCTGACTTGTTGCCTGTCCCATGTCTGGCAGTAGGCCAGTGACGTCATTGAGAATCCCGCTTTCCTAGTGGCATCTGCTGTGCCTGGGTGAGGGCTATTGGAGCCTGGGAACCAGGTGACTAATATAGTCTTCACTTTTTCTGAATGTGCTGGGGCTGCACTCCTTTGCCTGGCTTTAAGAGAGTCCCCAGTCATCTGCCAAGAGCAGGGCACTATCCCCACCCATTCTGAGCTTCACAGGTCCCCATGACGAGTTGACAACCAACCGTGGAAGGTGAGCTGTGTTTGGAGGAGAATCATGTGTCCCAAAGCACCATGTGCCTCACCTGGGATGCTGACAAGTGCGCCTGGCATCAAGCCCCCAACAGATGTCGGGGTGTCACTGAGTGACCAGAGTCAGGCTGGATTCCCACTGGAAGGAGTCTCAGCATGGGCAGGGAAGGGGAGGAGCACGCTCTCTGCCACTATACTGACCTGGGGTCACCTGCCCCTCCAGAAGGAGACAGGCAGGAAGTGTAGATCAGGGTGGGAAGATGCCAGGTGTAGGAGGGAAGAGCAAACGAGAAAAAGGAAAATAGAATGAGCAGAAAATGGGCCACTCTAGGTCCAAGGGATGTGGCATGGAGAACTGGAGCACAGGGCTGGGCAGGGCAGGAAGGGTCTCCTCCAGCTTGGTGGTCCTGCAGAGCCTGCAGTGACCCCGCCTCTGCTTTTGAAGTGCTGATCTTGTTTGTCCGTCATCTTTGACCTCACCAGGCTAGGTCTTCCCACGAGCAGGGAAGTCCCCTTGGTTGTGGGTGGCAGGAAGCTCCATGGCTCCTACCCTAGTCCTAAAGACAGGAAGTCACTCCACAATGTTGTCACCCCCAAGCAACAGGCATATGTGCTCCTGGCTTCAGGGCCCACCAGCAGGTGGCCCAGAGTCCCTTCTGGCCCTGCTAACTTGGCTTGGGGCCTGTGTTCTCTGCATGTAACGCAAACGCCCTCCCTAGGAGGATGTATTGGCTGAGCACCCCATTCTTGGATCCCTGCTGAGCGTGGGCTTGTCCTCCAGCCCCGACCTCCCCCTGCACCCGCCTGCTGGGTGTCACACACCACCAAGCATGCATTCCAGTCTGCACCTTGAGCCCTGCCACCTGAAGGCCACACCTCAGAGGTTGCCCTGCCAGCTGGCTCTCACATCAGATATCTGGCCCCTCCCAAGCCTATCCAAGGAAAAAGGAAACATCATAGTTCCCTGGCTATCGTCCCTGCCTGTGCTTCCCACGTCACACAACCTGGGCCTTGTTCACTAGCAGGCCTGGCTCTGCTCCCGCCACTGAGCGTGAGCAGCCTTGCTCTGGATGAGAGCTGGCCGGAGTAGGCCCGGAGCAGCCCCAGGCCAGCTGGTACGGAAAGCTGAGAGGGCGACCCGTGGCCACTGCCAGTTCGGATGAGGCTGCATTCCCAAAGCCCTCCCGTATGCAGCCCTGCCACCTGTGGTCACCTGGCCTGGGGGCCTCGCTCCCTCTTGTGCACCCTCTTCTTCCCAGACCTCACGCCAGTTGTTCCTGGCCTCTGCGGCCTGGCCAGGCCCTGAGCTCATACCTCTTGGACATTTCTTCTCTCACTCACATGGCCCCCACCCGCCCTCGCAGCTCACATGTGGCTGCAGGACAGCCTCCAGGGTCTCCGTGTCACAGTCCCACAGATATCTACAGAGTTGTTGTGAGGACCTGTAATCCCAGCATGCTGGAGGGCTGAGGCAAGAAGGAGCACAAATTTGAGCCCAGTCTGGGCAACTTAGTGATTAAATGAGGGAGTGTCTCAGCACATGGTGAAGGATCTGCTTCCTGCGTCCAAAAGGACCCTCTCTGAAGCGGGGAGCCTGGTCTGAGGACTGGGGCACAGGCTCTGTGCTTTTTCTTCCTGTGCACTGTTCCCTCTGGAGCACTTTCCCAGCTGACTCCTCTTGTCTTCCTTGCCTCAGTTTACATTCCCCGGAGCCTTTGTTGACCACTGATCGAAAGCAGGTCTTTCTTGTTATTTTCACTCCCATTTTCTTTTCTATCTAGAACTGACCGGTTAGAGAAGTAAATGTTAATGTTATAGCTCATTCTCCCACAGGACCACAGATGTCCTGAGGGCCAGAATTTGTCCTCTATTCATCATTGTGCCCTTGATACTTAACTCAGGGCATGGCATGTGGGTGTACTGGGTGGGTGGATGGGCAGTGGGTAGGTGTGGACGGGTTGTTAAATGCATCGAGGGATGGATGGAGGGGGAGAGGATGGATGTGTGAGTGGGTAAATGAATAGATGAATGGATGGGTGGATGGATGGTTCAATTCATAGATATGTGGATGGATAGGTGGGTGGATGTGTGGATAGATGGATGAATATATGGATGAAAGGAAGGATGAATGGGTAGGTGGGCAAGCAGATGGAGAGATGGATGCATGGTTGGACAGATTCATAGATGTGTGGATATATGTGGATGGATGGGTGGGTGATTGCATGGATGTATGGATGGATGGGTGGATGGATGGATAGATGGTGGGTAGGTTTTAATAGACTGGGCAAGTGAGATGGATGGGCAGCTGAATGTAATAAATTTGAGAAATTTCTGAGCCAAATTTAAAAATTAAAAAAATAAAAATCACCAACGAAATGAAATAAGCTACACAGCTCAGTGTGTCAGTTGCAAAGCCCAGGTCTTGTGTTGCGTGTGGCTGAGTTCTGTGGAGCCGTGGCTGGAGTATTCTGTAGCACGAGGACCTTTTCACTGACATGAGATTCTTGGGAGGTGTGGTGCATGTGTAGTGGAGTGTGGTGCACAAGGGATGCACATGTCTCAAAGATCAGGTCTTCAGACCCTATCAGATCTTTCCTCTTGCGGCTAAAAGGGGCACCTGCAAGCCAGCAAGTCTGGGACATTTCCCAAGCTGGTTTCTACCTCTGTAGCTCTTGCAGAAGAAATTTTCTATGGAAAATTCCAGGGAACAACCCAAAGCCCCTGTCTCTTTCCAGATAAAAATCCTCGATGCTAGATGAATGGATGGGTAATTGCAGGACTGCCTGGGATGCAACCTGAGAGCTTGTGAAATACATGGAAAATGGAAGCTTAATTACTCTGAAACACTGAAAGCCATAAATGGGGTTATTTAAAAACAAGAGCCTTGTCAAAGTATTTTGTACTGCAAATGGAGACTTACAAATAGAAAGTGTACTAGAAGGACCGTTTCCTAAGAATTAACAAGAGAACCTCAGTAACACTGATGGCCCCTGGGGGCTCCGCAGGATTGAAGAGCCATGTCCAAGCCCTGCAGTTAAAGTGGCTTGTGCTTCCAGGTCTTGCAGCTGTTGGGTGAGGACTGTGACGGTCTACTTGCTGGGCTTGGTTTCCACAGAGGACCTACCACACAGCCCATGAATCAGTGTGTGACCCCACCTGCCTTAGCCCAGGTGTGCCGACCCACACTGTCCCTTCTGTAGGGATGATGCTGTAGCCGCCAGCCTCTCACGCCCCAGCCTTCCTCCATGGCCCCTTGTGTGTCTTGCCCAGCTGCACCTCAGATCCATCTGTGCAGCCTTCTGCAGCTTCCTTGTGAGGAAAGAGTCCTGTTTCTTGTAGGATCAATGGTGGCAGAGGACACTGCCTCATGTGCGTGGGCCAAACAACTCTGGGCAGTGCCTGCGCTGACCCTTGCTCACTCTGTCCAGTCACATGTCACCTTTCCAGCTGGTAGTCAAGGCCCTCAGAACCTTCAATCACCCCATCTTTGTCCCCCTGACCTGCTGCCACCTGTGCAGGTACAGGGG